CCTAAAATGGTCCGTATTCAAGAAATTTTTCAGAATGTAAAAAAATTCTGATTTTTAAGAAAAATTTTGAACTAAAAGATGTTCGTGATATCGATTTCTATAATTTATGTTTTTTACATGATTTTTCTAAAATGGACCATAATGGAAAAATTGGAGGAAAAGTATAAAATTTAAATTTTTCAGCATTTTCGTTGGCAATGAGTGTATATAGAAAATTGTTTTGAGTTAGATGTATGTGGGAAATGTATATATTAAGTTAACTTCTAAATAATTACAGAGATGCTACAATAGGTTGTAAAAAGTAACAGAAAAAAAGCCTGTAATAACTAGATAGGAAAGTCATATATTGGACACATCAGATTTTTATTTTAAATTTAAAGTCACGCTGTTACCATAAAAGTACGTAGAATTTCTTTATTAATTTTTTTCAAAGTAAATTCTTCAAATTTTAATCTATTTTTTTTGTTTCGTTAATGTAGAAATTGTGTTTATGATGTGTTACTATGAGCAGCCGAGGTAAAGTAATTTTACTATCTACTACCACAATTAAACAAAAATAAACAACTTGGAAATCAAATTATGCTTCGCCTTGCGGGCAGTATGATTCAGTCATATAAATAGTATGTTTCAGTCTTGTGAACAGCATTGTTTAGGCTTCTATATAGTACTGTTCAGTCTTTTGGAAAGTGTGGTTTTGTCTTGTGTACAGTATGGTCTAGTTTTGTGGACAGTATGGTGAAGTTTGTGGACAGTATGGACAAAATATTAAATTTGTTATTAGTATATTATTCAATAAGCGATCGAAATAAATTAACATTATTCATTATTACTCTGATGTTTCATTTCATGTGAATTTGATAGAAATAATTAGTAAAATTAGATTATATTATTTAATCATAGTTATAAATAGTATTTACAACTAGGGTAAACCGGTCAGTGATTGGCCCTTTAAGATTCTATCTTTACATTTTATGTTATGGATTTCAAATTATTTCATATATTTAAATAAAATTTTTCCTGAGTATATTTAATAAAACAACAAAGAGTTTTACAATTTTTTTTATTTGAAAAAGAATAACAATACATTTATAAATGGTACTTATTTTTAAAGTATAATATTTACTAGAGATTGGCCGACTAATTGCAATCATTGGCCAGGGTAATATCAGTCATTGGCCCATATTTAAATAATAGAAAATTATGAGAGAGAACACCTTAAAATTTAAAAGAAAAAAATAAAGTGGCTACATTTTTTTTAAACAACTTGAACAGTGGAAAACTGTAGATGTCGACTTATGAACATTATGTTTTTTTAAACACCTAACATGATAGGCTCTTTCACAGCTGTAACACCGAATTGCATAATCATCAACAGTACAATTATAAGTACAACTAAAACATAAACCTACAGTTTTCTTAATATTTAAATCCTGTGAAAGTCCAATCTGCTGTAAAATACCATTTAAATCACTTAAGTTGTCGCTAGGGTTTAAAAGAACATTGGAGTGAATATTAATTGATTTTTTTTTAAATAAATTTTTCGTAACTTTTTTAACATTCTCTGGAGTAAGGCTTCCAAAATGTGCGTTTGTTGGTTCAAAATGTAAGGTTGGAGATTCAAAATGTATGTTTTCAGGTTCCGTATTCTCTTTTTTGTTTGACTCTTTCTTCTTTTGGCTCTCCGCAGTTACCTTTTCTCTATTTGATACAGCCGCGGTTTTTTTCCTACTAATTTATGATTTTTCCTCTCTTCTTTTTCTTGTTCCTTTTGTGTTTTTAATAAAGTTTGTTCTCTCTTTTTGTTAAGACGTTCTTCTTTTTCTGTTTCTTTTTTGATTTTCTCTTCCACTTGTTGCCGCTTATTCTCTCGCCATTCAGTTCCAGTTATTACATAAGAAACTTTTTCCGTTTGCCTATTACCTTTACGTTTAGGTGTTTTTGGCCAATATAATATTTCATTGAAACTTGAACTATGACTATCATTGATATCAACATCGCTTTTCTGATCAGACTGATCTTTAACTTTACTTACATTTTCTGTTTCAAAAGTAACTTCTTCAATTATGACATTATTTTCAGCTGCATCAAAAACAATTGGCAAATTTTCTATATTAAAATATTGCACCTGAGCATGTTTTGATTGTTCTTCAATATATTCTTTAGTTACATTTTTAGTTAAATCTTCAGTTACATTTTTAGTTACATCTTCAGTTATATCTTCAGTTATATCTTCAATTATATCTTCAGTTACATCTTCAGTTATATCTTCAGTTATATCTTCAGTTATATCTTCGGTTACATCTGCATTTACATCCATTATATCCATATTTATTTGACCAATATCTTCATCCATATTTACTTCTTTTGATACATTTTTGTTAGAGTTAAATTGCTTCCAAAGCTCATATAACAGTGTAAATTCTTTGGAATGTGATGTGGAATCTTCTTCATATTTTTTAAATTTTGATATGTGATCATTCCCAACAATTTTCTCGAAAGTTTGATAACTAAGAGACCCCTTTTTTTCATCAAAATATTGATCTTGAATGGGGATTTCTGCAGTTGCAGTAGAATTATTTTTTCCCAAACACTTTGAATAATCGACAGCGTTATCATCAAAAGGATATAACCCTGTTGCACGAAATCCATTCTGAATTGTTGTAGACTTCGCATAAGTATCTACAACTTCTTTTAAAATAGGAGCAAACTTTTCTTTCGTTAGAGTGGTATTAAGATTGCCTTTTCGCCTCCAATCCAAGACTGCTGCTTTCCAGCCCATTTTAATAGGCCTAAATGCTGCTACATCAGCTGGTTGAAGTATTCTGGTTGAATTTGGATAGAGGCATATTAAAATTACTTCTAACTTTCGGCATAAGTCGCTTACTTCATATGTAAGGTGGGTTTTATGCCCGTCTATAAAGAGGATTACTGGAAACGGTACGTTTTTTTCTTTCAGATAAGGATATAATACTTTTGAGACGTATTCATAAAAAACATGAGCCTTCATCCATCCCGAGTCGCTCATCCCTATTCCCCATTCCTGTGGCACTGATTTGTAAATTTAATCTTTTAGCCTTTTGCCTGGAAAGATAATCATAGGGGGTGTAGTCATACCTGAAGCCGAGAATGTGAACATTACTGTTATGTTTAATTTTGATGATGCATGTTCAATTTCATATATGTTCTTTGTACCTCTAGGAGCTAGAACTTTCGTATTTTTGGGGCAAAGGTTAAAGCAAGTTTCGTCGCCATTGAGAATCCGTCTGGGATCAGTTAAAATTGAGTCGTATCCTTTAGCTTGAAGGTACGATTTGATGTCCTTAAACCACTTTCTGAGGTCATTTTCTGCTAAGTTTGAGCTTGCTGATGTAACCAATTCTGCCGTCCTTTGTACAAGATTTGGATGCCTCCGAAGAAATGCTTTGTACCAGGTGTCGTTTGGAAAATTATTCGTAAAAGGATTTTTTCGAGGGTTTTTTTCCAAGAATGTCTGGACTGACAATTGTATGTCTTCTTTCCTGCGTGGAAACCCTTTTTTTCCTAATTCAATAATCCACTTCTCTAGCATACCCTCTTCTTCTTTGGTAAAGACAGGGTTAGGGCCAAAACCTGTCTTAACAAACTTTTCACCTTTTCTAAACTGCAAGGTTGCCCTAGGAACATTAAATTTTCTAGCTGCCTCCCGCAGAGGCATACCTCCCTCAATTGCTTGTAAAGCTGATTGCAGTTCCTCTTCAGAGTATTTTTTTGCATATTGCAGATCTTCTTGAACTTTTGGCATGATAACTTCTGAAATAAAATACTTTTGGTCACAAAACAAAATAAAGTTTTGACGTTTAAAAAAAAAATGAAATTACCACAATTATTACCTACACATTTTAAGGTAGATATTGCTTAATATTTCTATTAAAATTGCAAAAATAGTAAGCAATTAATCCAAGAAACTATTATTCATTTTGAATTTCGCGGCTAACATAAAAGAGGTTTACAATATCATTCAATTATTGGCCACCCGTTCCAACTAGTTATTGGCCCCCGGCCAACGACTAGATTTAATCAAATTATGTTAATATTATAAGCAGAACTTTCATTTAATGAATATTTTGTAAAGTATTACGATTTAACATCTTATTTTAATAAAAATAAACATGGACTAGTTATTGGCCTGCGTGGCCAATGATAACATTTTTACAATTTTTTTTTGCCAGTGATTGGCCCCCCTGTTTTTATTCAAATATCACATTTCGATGTACGAAACGACTATAAATAACACATAATATTCATTTTAATGGAACCCCAGTTAAGTCTTTGTTAAAAAAAATTAATCGAACCTTATTGTTCCTTACCTTGTATATATACCTTCTTACAGAAATCACAACACAATCACGATTTCTACCAACGCCATGTACACCTCGTCAATAACGTGTCGCCATTTTAATTCAGAATTACCAACCCAAAGGCTTAATTTTTTTAGTAAGAAATGGGTAAAGAAAGTTTATGTTGGTATTAAATCCTTAAAAGAATATAAAGCCACTTTCTTATTAACGATGTTTAAAATATATCTGGCCAATCACTAATAAGTGGCCAATGACAGGGTGGTTTACCCTATAACATAAACTATTACATAATAAATAAGCAGACTGGGAGTGATGTATATACTAAGAGTGAGATGAAAGTGGAAATAATGAAATTGGATCTAATTTTTAATGAAATTCATCTTCTATTACATAATATATTTATTAATAAAGGATTTTTGACTTATTATTGTGGTAAATCATATAATATGGTTGATATTAACCAAATTTAGTATAAATTAAACAATATATTCATTGTTTGCTAGAAGTTCAGAAGATAGAGTAGATTTACTGTACAAATTTTTGTTCTGGGTGCTTTATTATTTGTGCTATATGGGTATTGTTTATAAATGAGGTTAATTTCGCTTAAAATTTACATAGGGTGAACATTAATTTTATATGTTTTCTTTAAATTCTAATTTTTAGGAATGTCCCAAGTAACTGGACGCATAAACTCAAGATACGCAGACCCAAGTGGCACCCACCCCGACCTTCAAATATATTTCGACGGATACACAGCAGATTGTTCTAAAACTGGAGAAGCCAGGGCTTTAGAAGATCCCGAAAAACCCGATTTGCCCAAAATTCTCGTAATATCCCCAATTGCTCTTCATCCAAAAAGTTTAGGTTATGTAACGCTCAAGTCTAAAGATCCATTGAAAGCACCAGCTATGGTTGCGAATTATTTGACAGAACCAGAAGATTTGGCTGTTTTGATAGACGGAATGAGGGTTATTCAGAGACTTATGAATACGACTGTGATGAAGGAAAAATACGGAGCTGAACCGCTAAAAGAGGAATACGGGGACTGCATTAAGAAATTTGCGTAAGTTTTTCTTTCAATATTTTAACTAACTTTATTATTTTATTTAAAGACTCAATTTTAATGTAGAATTTATCAATTTAGGTATGACTCTGATAGTTTTTGGGGTTGCGCTATAAAACATAAAACTGGACCTGAAAACCACCAATCTTGTTCATTAAAAATGGGCCCATCAACCGATCCAATGGCAGTAGTAGACAGCAAACTGATGGTCTACGGTATCGATGGCATAAGAGTATTGGATGCCTCCTCTATGCCAGAATTGCTATCAGGCAATACCCACGCAACTATTGTTATGATGGCTGAAAGAGGAGTAGAGTTTATAAAAGAAAGATGGGTGCCAGCCGTTAATACGATTGGTGATAGATTTGGAAATCCTAAACCACTTGGACAGTATCCTGCACATACTTATCCAAAACCGGTGCAACATAATTTTAATAAAGGTGGTTCATACCATTACCAAGAAGATAAACATGGAGTAAAATCAAGATAAACCTAGATAATACTTTCATATTTTTACTGGTAATTTTGTTTATTCTATTAAAAGGCATTATTTTTGATTGAATATTTATTTTATGAAAATGAAGAGATGAAATTTAGTTACTGAAATGAACAGTTCGGAGTTCGAAGCAAAACCTAATCTATTTTGACACGACTGTGGTATGGTTTTTGTTTTTCAAAACGACGACGAAAAGTTTTCAAATTTGTAAATAAATACGAAAATAAAAAAGTATAAAAAAAAGAAACAGTTTTTAACATTTATAGCAATAGTATCTTTCTTTTATCAAAAACACGACTAAAATATATCGGAACAGGAAAAAATATGATACAAACTATCTCCTATGTCGCCATTGTGAATACTTTAGGAAGAAATTCGCGTTTCCAACACCGCCATCTAATCTTACCTAACATGTGCTTTAGAAAACTTGAAATTATTTATTATAAGTAAATTTTGTCCTCGTTCACTCACAATTTCCTTTTAGTTCTTTACTCGTTTAATTAAATTTCTTTATATTCTGATCATCAGTTTTAAGAAAATTAGTGTTGGCCTTTTATAAATCGTAATAAAAATGCTATACATACCATACTAATATCTTTGTTTAACTGCCTAAATTTCACTCTCGACGACATAATATTTCCTGGAATTAACAAAAGTCATAAAGAAACCAAATGATGATCTGTTATACGATTTTTTAAAAAGTGAGGATAAACTACGACAAAAAAGTACATAACTGTACATGTATCATTGTTTTACTAATCGAAATTTGAAGAATTTCCAATGGCAAAATAATGTACAAAGACGTACATTATGCCGTTGTAAATTATGACAAAATAATGATAGCATACAACTGTACTGCCCAATACAGTTTTTTGACGAGCAAATTTTGTAAAATACAAAACCTTTTGCGTGGTACATTATTTATCCACTAGACTGTCTACGACACTATAGAGATATGGTTATGGTTTAAAGACGTACTTTATTTATAGATTAAAACCTGCATCATACCTAAATTTGGGCAAAATTGCGAGCACGTCATTCTGCCTTTGTGCAACATTTTTTCGACAATTCATTTAATTAAATATTGTTTTGACCGAAAACTTTTAGGAACATTCCTGTTTTTTTAAAACTTTACATCACATATTTTTTATGAAGTTGTTTTGTGAAAAAAGAATTTTATCGCAGGATCTCTATACCTCAAATGACAGTCTCATCAATATTTCCTTGTCTTAGCTTATAACACGATGGCCTTAAATAGGCGCAAAAATGTTGACACCTAAAAATTAGATGGCCTTCTCTTCTAGGTCCTAAATGATGTCTTTGAAAACACAGAATGAACTATGGAAAATTAAAAAAAAATATTGCGATGAAAATAATAAAAAAAGCTCTCAATCGTAAAAAAAATAAATTATCAGAAGACCAAAATGCAAAAAAGTATATTTTAATTAAAAGCAATTTTTTCTATGTAATCCTGAACCTTAAATAAATTATTTTGTATTTCTTCCAATTGTTTTATTTCTTTGAAAATGATTCCTTGCTTGCATTCGTTAATAAATATTTGTGTTTTCTTTTCTTTTTCTTCTTGAAGTTTTTCCACATATTTTAATTGTGTACACCCAGTCTAAAATAAGAATTCAATGTTTAGTATGTTCTTAATTAAACCTACAGAAGAAAAAAATAAATTATCTTTTTTTTTGATTGTCCACCATAAAAATGTTGGCCGGGATTTTTTAATTTAATTTAGTTGTTTAAAAATAATTCTAACGCCTATGTACCACTCCGACTATTCACAGTTGGTGTCTAATTAATAGTGCTGTTGCTAAAGTGGCGCTGAGAAATAATAACAAAGCCTACAAAGAACACTCACTAATAAAATAAATCAAATCACCAACAATAAATTAAAAAAAAACTAATAATAATCAGTGGCGGCTCGTGGGCACTAGCGGCAGTGGGGCACACACTGGAAGGGAATCTCGGGATTCGTTTTTCCCTTAGGAAAACAAGTTCTCCGTTTAATAAAAATTAAATATATTTCAAAACAAATTAAATATTACAAAATTGAAGACTAACTGCTAGGTACCGCTGTAGTTGTATACTATTTCTTATAGTTGAAGTCCATTCTTCTGGATTTTTGGCTAGCGAAGTGATCGATGACCAGATTATTAAAATTTGGAATGGACCGAATAAGTTTTTTTTTCAAAGGATAACATGGCTAACGCGCATAATCTATCTTGGCACATAGTGTTCCTTAAAAATGATTTAATACGTTTTAGTGTCGAAAAACATCTTTCACTCTCCACTGTGGTCATAGGAATTGTACACAGGATAGTTAGCAGCTCCTCAGATTACGAAAATGTAATTGTAGAATTGTTCTCAAAAAACATTTGTTATAACGGTACGGCCCCATTGTGTTGAACAAAGTCATCTCGGGTGTAAAGTATGGACAGTTCGTTTTTGAATTTTAATCTGTTTACGTTTGAAAATAAACTACACACAGTTTTAACGTCCTCATTTGGAAAACAACCTCGGTAGTCCTTAAATTTTTCACTATCAAATAAACTTGCAATTGTTAGGTGGTTAGTAAAACTAAAACGTTCATTTACCTGCACTACTATTGTATCATAAATGTCCTTACATATCCTTAAATTAGGAATGGGGTCCTCCTTTTCAACAAACCATCTCTTATTGCTTGTACTTGGACCTGATTGGGTGTTGTCGTTTAAGTTTAGTTCTTGTGGGTCTTGTTGTGATTGTCATTCTTCATAAATTAGCGTGTCTATATTATTTCTAATATTTTGAATAGCTGCTGCAAAATTTGATGTTTATCTGAACCTTGAGAGCATCGAACTGTCTACTCTGCAGTTGATCAAAAAGTATATCGCAATTTGGCATTATTTTGCTGAAGAAAAATAACCAGAAACTAAAATCTGTCTTTCAAAATTTATCAACCCATTAGTCTGATTAATAGTTTTCTTTATCGAATTCTGTGTTCATAATTTCTTCGAGACATTTAATCAAATCCTCTTTATAAATATAAATAGTATTGACACACTTCGATGTAAAATTTGGTGCGCGTGGCAGTGAATATGTTGGGCATTTGCATAGATGTTTTTAATTTTAGCTTGTACCCCTCTAATAATACCACTCATTACGAAAGCACCATCGTAACTTTGTGCTATTAGTTTTTCAGGTACTTTGTCAATTCCTAGTTCACTTAATATCTCGAGAATTGCCGCCGAAAGCCCGCCTGCAGTGTGATCCATTGGTCTCAAAAAACTCCAAAACCTTTCGTTAATCCGACCGTCTCGTACATATCTGATTATCAAAACCATCTGCATTTGAGTTGATGCATCAGTTTTTATACATTAAAAAACGAATTACCGAAATTTACGGCCCCAAAAGATCAACAAGCAAAGCCACCCGGCAGCGCTAAGTTGAAGGTAAACAAATAAACCATGGATACAGCACGTCACGATGAGGACAGCGCCCCGCTTGTGACGTATAATCCATCGCATGTGTTCATCTCTTCCTAAGCGATATTGTCGTTGTCCTTGTTTTTCACATCATAATGAGAGAGAAAACAATAAAGGCACACATTTACTGTGCCCTGTGCCCATCTTCCACTCAATTTAGGAATTCTCGGAACGTCGCTCAACGCCCGGTCGTCCAGTGTCGTGCCAACGCGGTTTGCGCTGAATATTAGATAAAATAATAAAAGGCATTGAGGAAAATATAAAATATGTAAGATATTATTTTTTTTTGTTTATTATACTAGGGCACGTGCCCAAGTGCCCTTACGGGCAAACCGCTATTGATAATAATGGAAGGTTTCTCTCACCTTGCTTGTTGTTGCGTCTTTTTCTTCTAGACACTTTTTTGTATTCGCCTCTCCAAAAAGTTGCTCGAATTGTTCGATTACTTCTAAAGCACCTTCTGTTGCTGTACGATTACATTGCACCTGTGTATGAAAATCTAAAATACGATAACAGAGGCATAAATCCATAGTAATACAAATAGGGTCATTGTGGGAACAGTGAATCAGGTGGCTACAGTGAGTCGGCAGCCATTTTTAAATACGAACAGACTTGTTATTATTTTCTATCACTTAATATGTTCTATATTTAATAGTCTTTAGCTTCTCTCAGTATACAGGCAAGCAGTGCACACGGTGTTTTTGACGAAAAACGATTTAGGTGATGAACATTTTATTTCAAAGTAAGTTTTTCGTTAGTTTGATAGCTATATTTTCAAATATATATTATTTATTACATTGCTGTGGCAAAGTAGTATTAGTAAGCTACATAACTATATAATTTTTCATCTTAAAGGTTTTAGGGAAAATATCTAAAAAATTATTTTTTTACATCGAGTCAAAGGGGTACACAGTGAACCAACGGTCTTAACTAAACAGTGAATCGCGATTCACTGTGTACCTGCTACTGTGAATCACAACTTTTAATGTTACAATGCTGTTTGTTGTTTCAGTATACTTCGTAAACAGCTGCTGGAAAGAAAAATTGGCAGACACTGTAAAGAAGATATGGAACGAGCGCTAAATCTTTAAATTATATTCTCCAAGTATCCAGAGACACCGGCTTAGCTTTTGCGACGATGCGTCGGTACTATGAGAAATATTAAAACTTGCCAACTATTCCATTGAGAGTATACGGCTAGTGCCTCACTACAATATTAATAAAAATTTTATTGACGAACAAGAAACGGCCTTAAAGGAATAATACCAACACTGTGCCTTACTGTTTTATGGACTGTCGACAACTGAATGCCGACGTGTATATGAGATGGCTAAAATCAATAATGTTAACATGCCAAATTCATGGTAAACAAGTAAATCTGTAGGGATAGATTGGCTTAAATCTTTTCGTAAGAGACATCAGGATCTATCTCTACGAAAGCCAGAACCATGTAGTCTGGCAAGAGCTGCAGCCTTCAACAAGATCAATGTTAAGAAGTTTTTCGACAATTTAGAAAAAGAGAAACCCAGTTTTTAATATGGATAAAACTTCTACTACCACGGTGCAAAGACCTCAAAAAGTTTTAGGACCAAAAGATCGTAAAAATTTGGGGAAAGTAACTAGTGGAGAAAAGGGAACGCTCGTTACTACCTGCTGCATTGTTAGTGCTGTCGGCCAAGCTATGCCGCCCGTAATGGTGTTTCCTCGTAAAAATTTTAAATTGCACATGATCAAAGGAACCCCTTCAGGAACACTGGGATTAGCCGCACC